ATGCTCCCAGTGCAAAGGTCATGGGTTTGATCCCTGGGTCAGGAAACTAAGACATCACATGCCGTTTGGCCCACCGCCCCCCCAAATTTCTAAGATACAAAACTTAGAAAATTTGCCAATGGATTTGATAGAGGATGTAAGGAAAGGGGGTGTTAAGGGGTTATTAGAGTTGGTTCTAAGCAACTAGAAGAACGGAGTCACTATTTCTGAAGATGGGCTAGGAGGGGCAGGAACCAGCGATTCAGTTTTGGACATATATTAGGTTTAAAATGCTTATTAGACCCCTAAATGGAGATGTCAAGTAAGTGGGTAGATAGGAGTTGCGTTCAGAAAAAAAATCTGGGCTAGAGATAGAAATTTGGGAGTTTTTAGTTGATCATGAGGTGACAGGGGAGTTGGACAAATGATACAGGGCCTTTAGGACTTTGAGAGTGAATGTAGACTAAAAGAAGGGGTCCTATGGTTGAGCCCTGGACTTAATCATACATTTTGAAGCTAGAGAGAAAAGGAGGAACCAGAAAAGAGGATGGAGATGGAGCAGTGCAGCAGCACCTTCGTAAGGACAACCAGGAGAAAGCACGTGGTATCCCAGAAGCTAAATGAAGAAAATATTTATTTCTAGGAGTGAGTAACAAACTCAGATGCTGCTGACCTGTCAAGTAAGATGAGGACTGATATATTTAGCAACATGAAGGTCATCAGTGACCTTAAGAGTTCAAGAGATTGGGGTCAAAAAGCTATTTGTAAAAATTCATTTCTAAGAGCAGTTTTCTAACTTTGATCACTGGATATTATTAAGGAATTATTAATTTTAAAAGGCATGATAATATCATTGCACCTTTAGCTCTTGACCTATATGTTGAGGTGTTTATGCATGAAATGATACGATGTTTGAGATTTTTTTTATTGGGGTGTAGTTACTTTTGTCTGGGATTTTAAAAACAACATTTATTTATTTGGCTGTTCCAGGTCTTAGTTGCGGCATGTGGGAGCTAGTTCCCCGACCAGGAACTGAACCCAGGCCCCCTCCACTGAGCAGAGTCTTAGCAACTGGACCACCATGTAAGTCCAGGCGAGTCCCTGTGTGGAATTTAACATAATCCTTTGGAGGTGGAGAGGGAAGGGTTGGGTAGAAGGTATAGATGAAACAGATTGGCCCTATTTACAGACAAGTATTGAAGCTGGGTGATGCATACATGTCAATTTACCGTATTTTTAGCTTGAAATTTTCCATAATATAAAGAAAATTTTTTTGAAAGAGGAAAAATTGGAAACAGCTGATGTTTAATGAACTTAAAAAAAAAATTATTTGGCTGCACCAGGTCTTATTTGCAGCAAGAGGGATCTAGTTCCCTGACTAGGAATCAAATCTGGTCCCCCTACACTGGGAGTGCGGAGTCTTAGCCACCGGACCACCAGGGAAGTCCCTTTGATGAACTTTTAAGAAATAATTTTACAAAAGATACTTATTTGTTTTTGTGTCTTTAAAAAGCTAAAGAATGAACAGTTTAATCCGAAATCTACTTTTAACTAGCAACTCTTTGTTTAAAGAATGAATTAAAAAAAAATAATGAATGAGACTCCAACCGTGGTAAATAACTTTTTTGACTAGCTGAGATTGACATGTTTAAAACATTAGACTAGGATTTCCAGGTTATATATCCTATAGATTGATTTCCCTCATTTTTGGAATAGGCCCTACTTGCAAGTGAATCTAGATGGCAGGGTATAGCTGTGAAGTAGTAGCTGCTGCTCACCACTAGAGGGACCCTCTGACCATCAGAGGGTATCTAGTACACCCAGCAGGTGACTGAGCATGTTGAAGAGTGACAAGCTAAGAGCAGCAGCAGGATCATTTTTCCCCTAAAATATGTTCATATTCAATTCCTATTTGGGAAAAAGTCTTCTTATCCAGTTTAAAGGAGGACTGAGCCTCTGGCTTAAATTAAAATTCAAAACTTTGAGAATCCTCAATTCCTCCTTCATTCCAGTTACTTGTTCCATCATAAAATGTATTACCATCTCAATTCTCTTCCTTCCTCTCCAGTAGGGTATTGCCAACATCCTAAATGCACATTACTTCACACCTAAATTATCCGTCTAACTTGTCAACTTTTTCTGCTGTGATAGAACTGTCATCAGATTGACTTTGGAATTCTTTTACATCCCACTTATGGACAGAGACATTCTACACTTTCCCCACTGACTGCAGCTTAAAATAAAAATCCCTCAGCTTAGCAGACAGGGTTTCCAGTGTCGCCTCCACCCATACTCATTCCAATATTCTCCCTCAGGTCTCCCTCCACCATTGCTTTCACCATGGTCTCTTCCTTGCTCTCTACAACAGACCATTCTGTTCGGAGTGGACAGTGCTGCTGTCCTCAACTGTCCCAGCACTCATGCCCATTCTCAGACTTCTAGGCCCTTGTGCTCAAGTGAAACTTTCCCCAACACTTCAGGCCCACAGTAACCTCTATAATTTTCTTTTAAAAAACTTCCCTTTTGACTGCACTGGGTTTTCCCTGCTGCACATGGGCTTTCTCTAGTTCCAGTGAGCGTGCTCTGTACAGCACAGGCTTAGCTGCCCCTTGGCATGTGGAATCTTCATGGAGCAGGGATCGAACTCATGTCTCTTGCTTTGGCAAGGGGATTCTTAACCACTGGACCACCAGGGAAGTCCACTTCTAATTTTCTTCCATATTTTATGCTCTGTACCACTCTTTCAGAAATCACATCTCATGTATTCTTTTTGTGTGCATGTATGTTGTACTCTTCTGGACTCTGTAAACCCTTTAAGTAAGATCAATTACTTCTTTTAACCTTCAACTGCCCAGTGCATTGACTGTTCTTACTCATTAGCTGCTGCATAAATATTTGTAGAATGATCTTAACCAAGTAGGGAATAGTGGTATGGAGAGGAACATCCTAACCTCAACCTCACAGAAAAACACATGGCTGAGGAAAGCAGTCTCTATGCTTTCCTAAGAAAACGTGGGGCCAAGTTGAGGGAAGGAAAGGGAGAGAATCCTAGGGCCAACAAATCTTAAGCTTGCTTTTCCCACTGTCGCTCTCCTTTCCTCCTAAAGCCAAGCAAAATTTTGAACTTTGGATCCCCAAATCCCTAGGCAACAGACCTACATTAATTCCTTTTCTAGTCATTCACAGCTTTTCCTTGTCAAGTTAAGGATGGAGGAGGTGGCCAGAAGGTAATGAATGAAATCATTTCTCTCAGCCTGAGTTAGTCCAAAGCTGGAGTGAGAAAAACTGGAAAGGATGCATTCATTCCGGGTAATATGAACAAAACAGCCTGGGGTAGAAGGGTGGAGCAGATGGTGTATGAAAAAGAATCAAGAGGAAGCAAGAAGTCTAAATAACTGACAAAAGTTTAATGCATTAAAACCAGATACTTATCGCTTTTATATTGTATTTGCCATTTCTGAACAATACAAAGTAGAGGCAAATAGTGACACTTCATAAAAATGTTGACTCCCCATTCCTGTCCTTAAGACCCAGCCTCCCTCAAGTATTCCCTCCCACCCATGACAGAACTCTGTCCTGAATAAAACACTTAAATACATCATAAATAGTAAATTATGAAAAAAAAAATAGCAAGAATTGTTTCTTTCCTTCTTGTAAAAAAGAACATGGCAGCAAAGACAGGCAGCCAGAAACTGGCTGGGGTGTCTAATATAGACAGTTACTCAGGGTGTGGACTAAGCTACTATCAAGGCAGGGTGGGATGGAGAGGGGACAGTACAGGGATTCAACCATCTGCCAGACACACCAGGACCCCTCCTTCCCCTGAGAGGAGGAGGAGGAGCAGACGGTGAACAAAGGGAGAAGCGGGACTACACAGCCCCCATGTCCACGTTCTCTGCGTGAAGAGAGGCGGCAGGGTGTGGGGCACAGCGATGACTGCACTAAGGCAGGAATCTGCTGGCTCCCTATGCGTTTAAGAGAACATTCTCTAGCCTCACAGTTACCTGTTCAACAGACAGGTATCCCCGTCTCCATCTCAGCTCCACTAACAGCAGAACACTGTAGGAAAAGGTGGGAAGAGCAAGGAAGACATCTCCTTTGGAGAAGAAATCTAAAATTCATTTGATAAGTCTTCATATTTAGAAAAACAAGCAGAATACATTTCAAATTGCAAAACAGTAATAATGATTATGGCCTGGCAGTGAGTAGGGTTCTGCCTAGAAAGGGTTCTGACCTGTGAGCCCCAAGACTGCACCACTGTTTAACATAAGGGGTAAAGACTACCCCGTGTCCCACTCTCTCCATTCCTTCAGCCTTAAGAAATTCATTAAGAGAGGAGGAGTTAAAGAGGAGCTGCTCCTAGCAGAGCAGTCACCACCTTCTGTTTCTCAAATACCAGGGCTCTTCTGAGGGAACCCTGTGAATAGGCATCTCTCCAATACTTCTGGAGTTTTGATCTGAAAACTGGTTTGAAATTGTGTGCTATTTTCCTTTTCCTTTTTTAAGGAAACAAAAGGAGAGGGATGGGAGGTTAAACACCCCCAAAAAAACCTTTACAGAGATTACAGGAGTCTTCTTCCAGAGAAAGAGTTAAGGTAGGGATAAGGTACCAGCCAGTCTGTCCTGAGGAAATTAAAGAGTCCAGCTCCTGATGAAAGGTAGATGAGGGGGAAAGAAAATCGCCAAGTCCAGCAACCCCACTTCCAACAGGAAGAAGGGGGATCTGAAATCATTCAGTTGTGGAAGCCAAGGCTGGTGAGTTGAAAACTGGTTTCACCCAACTTGGGAGTGGAGAGGATGCTGCCGTCCTCAACTGTCCCGGCACTAATGCCCATTCATAAGGAAGGGAAAGGAGAAAAGGTTCTTCTTCTCTGGGGGAAATGGAGAGCTCTCCTAGCTTCCACTGCACTCCTTTTTTGATGACCATGAAAAAGAAAACTCAGCACTGCTGGGTCAAGGGCTGACATCTTGGGATCACAGAGGTGGTTGAGTCTCGCTCCAAGTCTTCTGAGGATTTTTGCTCACTGAAAAGGTAAAGTGTATAAAGTTAAGGATGTAGAGTATGAGATAAGGGGACAGGAAAGGAATTCAAGTTAATTTCAACCTAGATGGCAGACCTAAAAAGTTTCCTTCTAGTCCAGTCTCAGGTTCCAAGAACACAGTACCAAAACCAAAACCAAAAAAATTCCACGCCCCCCACCAAACCAAAAATTTTTTAAGTAAGATTTAAGGGAAGGGGGACACCCAGTCCCCCTAACCCTGACAACTACTTCCTTGCTCTACTCCATCAGTGGTGCTGTTTATACCCTTTCAAAGCAGCCACCTCCCCCACATCCCAGAAACTTACATGGACGAACTCTGACTCTGGAACTTCATGTTTTTCCAAGAGGGTTGAACTAACAGGAGTGGGGGAAAAAAATGGGGGCAGAAAGAAAAATGAGTAAATAAATGAGAAAAAGAGCTCTCAGGTCAAATCTCAGACTGCTTCTCCATATTTCACTGGGAATCAACTCAGAATTCAGAAAGAAGGGACTGAGTTACTAGATCTGGAAGCACATTCTTTTAATTAATAGTTTCTTGACTTCTATAAAATACTTCCTTAACACCCTCCTCACTACTACTTTCAATCCCCAGGTGTGGTAGGCACCCAACAATCACTGCCACCTGATAGTCATGCCATCATGTCATTTTCTCCTCAAGTGTGGGCTGCACTTAAGAGACTCTGTTCTAGCAAAGAGAATGCACCACAGGTGATGGAAATCAATTCTGAGATTAGGCTATGTAGCATCCTCTTGGGCACGTGCTCTCCAATTTGTTTGCTCTGAGGAAGCTGTGGCAATGCTGTGAACTGCATCATGGGGAGGACCATGTGAAGAGGAACTGGGGAATACTGCCAGCCAATAGCCAACAAGGAACCCTTAGCCCAGGAGCCTGCAAGAAACTGAATCCGGCCAACAACCACAGAAGCTTGGAAGCAGATCCTCCTCCCTGGGCAAGCCTTCAGATGAGACCACACTGCTGGCTAACAGCTTGACTGTAATCTCCTGAGAGACTCTGAGCCAAAGGCACCCAGCTAAGCCATACCCAGATTCTTAAGCCACATAAAATCTGAGATAACAATATTTGTTGTTTTCAGCTGCTAAAATTTGGGGTAATTTATCTCACAACAGGTAATACAAATTTTTGTACCTGGAAATGAAATGCTGCTGTAATAAAAATCTAAAATGTAGAAGTGGCTTTGGAAGAGAAAAATGGGCTTTGAGGATAGTTTCAGTGAAAGTTTAAAAGTGTGCTGAAGAATTCTGAACTATAAGGGGTTTGCCGGTAAGGGCTTAAAGGGAAGTGAGAAAAATCTTACTGGAAATTGAAGGAAAAGGGATCTCTGCAATGTAGTGAAACAAAATGTAGTGACAATGTCATCTATACTTATGTGGAAAGTCGAGTATGTGCCTAATGGACTGTGTGACCTAGCTAAGGAGATTTCTAAACCAAGTGCTGAAGGTGCCACCTGGTTTCTTCTTAATGCTTACAGTAAAATATGACAGGAGAAAAATATATGAAGGGAAGGACTAGGAAACAAAAAGCCAAGACTTGAAGGTTTTGAAAATTCTGAGCCTCTCTAGACAGCAAGTAATGCTAAAATTAACAAATGGATAAAATCTAAGGCACTGCTAGGAAAATGTGGTCTATAGATGAAGCCATGGGTGTAACTATAAAACATCTGTTAAGAACTCAAAGTACTAGTGAGTCATAAGAAAGGACATTCAAAAGATTAAGGGTATGTCTCTCAGATCCTCTCAACTTGAACAGGATCTCTAAGAAGCATAGAGCTTATCAGAAGGTATTTGTGGGTATGGCTTTGGTATAACAGTAAATCCCAATGAGATTCATAGGAAGCCCATAAAATCTCTGAGAGCATTAGAGCAACAGACACACTGTCCTGCTTGGACTAAAAAAGACAGAAATAGTACACAATGAAGAAACCACTGGATCCTCAAAATTCTGGCAAGTAGGCTAAGAAAATGACTCAGGTGCAAGCACATTCTAGTTTTCATGAAGACTCAGAAGGCAAAACAAGAGTCCAAAAGGTAAAGCCAAAAGTCATGCATTATTCTCATGCTTTGAGACGTGATAAAAGAAAACTCCAAAAAAAAAGAAAAAGAAAACTCCAGCATTTGCTGGATTTTAGGCTCCTCTGTGCCTCCTGTTTTCCATTTTTTGTGCAGGAATGTGTAAAGATTTTTTACTTTCTTGCTTGTTTGTCTCATCGTGGTATGCTGGTGTATGGGGAGAAGATAGCCTGTCTCTTTTATCAGTTTCACAGGTCCAAAGTGATCTCTACTTCCTGATACATGCTTAGGTACATGCACTCTCACTTGCCTATGCTAAGTGAAGCCAGCTGCCATGTTCTGAGTTATCCTCTGGAGAGGCTCATGTAGCCAAGAACTAAAGGAGGCTCCCAGAAAACAGCCAGCAAGGAACCAAGGCCCTCAGTCCAGCAACTCACCAGAAACTGAATCCTGTCAAAGAGCACATAAACGTGAAGTGAAGCCTCTCAGTTGGCCTTAAGATGAGCCTAGCCCTGGCCAACGTGTAACTATCATGTCATGAAAAATCTTGAGTCAAGAACCCAGTTACACTGCACCTGGATTTCTGACTCACAGAAACCATGATATATGTATGTTGTTTTAAGTCACTAAGTTTTTGGGTACATTATGATGTAATAGGTGATCAACACACCAAAAACAAAACTAACTCACAATCCATATAACAGATCCTTTTGAAAGGCTGACTGTTCACCGTCTTCAGTGCCTAGGAATCCTCCCAGCCTTAAATCCTAAGCTAAGAATTCTCACTTAAGTCATCAGGAAATGAAGCATTTATTAAGATATTCTGATTAAATATCGGAAAAGTTTGTACATAAGGGTTTCCCACCACCCCTAAAAACACAGAGATGTTGATACACTTTTCCAAATCACTAAAGATGAGCTCTTAGGAAGATGAACGTGCAAAAATATAGTGAAGAGCAAAAGACAATAAAATCTGGGGAACAAAAAAAACAAACCAACAAAATTATGGAAGTTCTCAAAAGACCTGAAGAGAGAGATGAGAAGATTACATGGAGAAAGAGACCAAGGAACCAACCTTGTAGTTAGCGCTTGCAAAGTCTCTCCAACTACAGGTGAGAAATAGGGGTCAGGAATAGTCGAGACCTCACTGATTTTCTCCAAAGGTGGAGTCTGAGGTAAAACATCAGGACGACCCAAGTGGACGCCTGGAAAAAAGAAAGAGGAAGAAAATCAATAAATCAAAAAGAGAAAATGGGGTGGGGGGAATATAGGAAAAAATATGTAGCAACTTGGCTTTTCATGAACAGGAATGGGGAACAGAGGTCCTAAGCAGAAAAAGATAAGGGCTCAGAAGGGAGGGAGGGAGCACCCATCACACGGGGACTCCAACCCTGGCGCTGACCTGGCTCCACTTCCGCCTTTGTTGTCACTTGTGCCTTGTGTTCCCCAGAGACTGATGGCTGGTAAGTTACGCAGGAGTTGCCGCTGGGGCCTGCTCGCCGAGAGAAAGATGAGCCAGACCGAAACTTTTTGGAAGGAGAGGGCTTCACTTCAAAAGGGAAAGAGAAAGCCTACTTAGCACCTACCTCAGAAACAGTCACCAAGACATAAATACAACTTGCTAGTGTCCCCAACAAAAACCCAAGGTTGTTCTTCTGCAAAGCAGGAAAAATGGTTAATGTCAACAAAGATGGGCTCTATGAACTGCTTATCAGACGAGGGGGCATCTCAGTTCACGTCATTTTGGAAAAGAAAGAGGAGAACCCAGAGGGAAGGGGATGCGCATTTCTCCCCTCCTACAACCCTGATGGCTTTGCTTCCACCTGATGACATGTCTCCTAATCCGTAATTCCTTTTTCTTTAATAGCAGCCTTCAGTTAAACCAGACACTCTATATCCTTGTAGAGCTTGACACACATAGCACCATGATGATACTTTACACTTGTTTATTCTCTTTGAAAAGATTATTCTATGTTTGTTAAGACTGTTTGGCATGCATAGGTCCTCTTTGCCTCACTAAGGGATCACTAGTGGCTATGATGAGGAGATGGAAATAGGAAGGAGCTGGAATTTGTCAGTGGCAGTAGCATGGAAGGTTTGGAAAGAACAACACTGGCACTTCCCAACTCCCTTCCCTAGGCTGAGACCCTAGCAAAAAGGTAAAACCCACAAATGAAATAAGAGGAAACTGAGGGAGCAAATCAGAAGTGAGAGAGACAGAAAGAGGAGAGCCTCTAGCTGACTAATATCTGCTAAGCAGACATGAGTATATGCTTCTCCAACCTTCTGATCTTCATCTGAGAACTCCGTGGCCTTGGGGATACAGTAATATTCTTGCCTATCTCTGTCCACAGAAGTCTGGCTTTGCCTACCTCAGCCTGTGGCACGGATCCTACACCCACAATTAAGTATTTTTACAATCCCACCAGTTTCTCAGAAATGCCCCTCACCTCCATGACACATGTAGGGATTGCCAGGGGGGAAAACAGCAACTTGATAATGACTGGGGCAGAGTGACTGACATAAGGATGGGCAGCAGCTCTCAAGGGATGTGGGTAAAGGAAGAGAAGTCTCTGGCTTTCGCAGTTCCCTGACAGAGGAGTCCTGCTCCCACCTCTTGAAGTAAGAGAGCCATTGGAGGGTCATCTGGCAGAAGCCACTTACAGGGAATCTTCTTAAAAACTGTAGTGCACATGAAACGCTGGAACCGTTCAGCATAGAAGCTGGGGCGATGCACTGATACGGTGTCCTGCAGAGGAAACAAGATGGCTGGAGTTTAGAGAAGGGGAGGCCCAGCAAGAGAATCTCTAGTCTAAGGGCCATTTTTCCCTAGGCTGAGACCCTAGCAAAAAGGTAAAACCCACAAATGAAATAAGGTAAGAGGAAACTGAGGGGGCAAATCAGAAGTGAGAGAGCCAGAAAGAGGAGCACCTCTAGCTGACTGCTACTCACCCCATCATGTACCAGAGCTTTCCAAGAATGCTCCAACTTCTTAACAAACCTGTCAAGAAAAATGTATACATCATGAATTCACATTAAATGAATGACCTTATAGATTGTATTTAACAGACTTGAGCAATCATAGTAGAAAAACTTGAAAAGACAGAAGCCAGGAAAGCACTCCCACTATTATGCTATAGTTTTTCAAAGAACAGACAGAGTAGTGCTTATTCAGCATGGAGATCAAAGCTGTTTCTAAAGTAAGTCAACTATCCTCTCACTGGAAAAGGATACTTAATACATAGTGGCAAGTCAGGGACAAGAATATTTATTGTAAAAGGGGAACTGTAGGGACAGACAGGCAAGCCTGGAGGGAGGTCAAATATTGTCTAGTCCTCACTAGCGCCTGAAATCTTACAGGAGCAAAACTGGGGTCTAACATTTCCAACTCTTCCCTCACTACCATCCACTGCTTTAGTCCCACAGGCTAATACTTTTCACAGAACAGTGATCCCTTTGTTTTTCTTCCATGGAAAAGAGGAATGTGTTTCCAACTGTATCCCAATGTGGAGTATGACTCATCTCACAGGTTTTCCACAAAGAGCCAGCAGGATGGCGTATTCCACCCTGCTGCTTCTGAGAACTGACTCGGCTTTCCACAAAGGTGTATGCTAAGTTTGTGAGATGGTGGGTAAGGAAGTCAAGAGACAGGCATAACCAAGGAAATAAACCACCATTTGAAACCCAGTGAGGCAAGCAGCCAGACTGCAACTTACTGTTCTTGCTTCAGGAAGAATTTGGTGACAAACCCATCTAAAAGAGCAAGGTGAGTAAGTCTATATCCACTATAACTCTGGGATTGGTATGTTTCTCACCTGTAAGACTGCAGAATGTCAATGATCCCAATATAAAGCAGCAGCCTTTCCCCTTTACTATTCCGGGCCGGGATGCCACCCATACTGGGGAAGACAAAAAGGAAAGAGTAACAGTATCTTCTGGTTAGCAGGCAGGAGCTTCTGCTAAATTCAAACCCAATCAAGACCTGTAACTGAGACCTAAGCACAACTGTCCCATCTTCCATAAACGGGAAGAGTGACAGCCTTCACCCAACCCCAGCCACTTTGGAGTATTTATTACATACAACTTCTTGCTCTCCAAATTTCACTTGCCTGCCTCTCCCACCCCAATTTCACCAAAAAGAATCTAAAAAGAACTCAGCAATTTTAGGAATACTCTCCCAATTAACTCTAAACTTTCTTAGTACTCTCTTTTTTTGCCCTGCCATGTGTCTTGTGGGATTTTAGTTCCCTGATCAGAAATCAAACCCAGGCCCTCAACCCCTGGACCACCAGCAAATTCCTCCCTAGTACTTTAATTTATGCCCACTAAGACACTCTTCTTGAGAATCATGATAAAGAATACTTTAAATGAAACCACCCAAAAGACATTTGATACTTCAGTAAGTGTACTTCTCTGGTCCATGAATGTAACAAAGATGCCTTCCATAAAAAACTCAAAGTCGCTCAGTCCTGTCTGACTCTGCAACCCCACGAACTGCAGCTTGCCAGGCTTCTCTGTCCATGGAATTCTCAAGGCCAGTATACTGGAGTGGGTAGCCTTTCCCTTCTCCAGGGGATCTTCCCAATCCAGGGATCAAAACCAGATTTCCCGCACTGCAGGCAGATTCTTTACCAACTGAGCCCCTAGGGAAGCCCCAGAATACTGGAGTGGGTAGCCTACCCTTTCCCCACGGGATCATCCCAACCCAGGAATCAAACCAGGGTCTCTGCATTGCAGGTGGATTCTTTACAAGCTGAGCTAGTTCTTAGAGAATCATGATAAAGAATACTTTAAAATGAAACCACCTGAAAGACATTCGATACTTCAGTAACTACTTCTTTGATCCATGAATGTAACAAAGATGCCATCCATTAAAAAAGTCTGTAATAAACTGTTTTTGATGAAGTTCTTACAATCTGCAGGTATGTATCTAAGACTCTAAGCCACATTTTTTAAAAGTCTCTTAATTTTGAATGGCACTCCTTCCAGGTTTACAAAGCCCAAATTTAAGAATCTTCCTTTCCTTTTACATTCTTAGGAAAACTCACTCTGTAGTTCTGCAAGTATTAATGTTGACTTCACTGCTGAATAAAGGCTACTCCTCTCAGAAGCTGTGTACCCCTCTCTAGAAAAAAAAAAATGCTCTGAGCCTACACACTCCTTCCTGGTGCCCAAGTCCACTCACTGGTCATCGGTCTCCATGGTGCCACCTCGCCGAGCCTCGCCCTGGATAGATTCCATGGCTGTGGAATAGAGAGCCTTTTGGGGGGCTGGTCTGCGAGTATCAGCTGAACACTGCGCTTCACTGCCTAAAGGCTCTCGCTGCGCATGATCTATGTTATGGATTGACACCAGGAGGCTATAGTCCATTATCTTGAAGCTCTGCAGCACCTAACAGAAGGAAAAAACATGATCTGAGCCTTGGGAGGTATGAGGATCTTTTTTCAGGATCTTATAGCTTTCCTGGTCTAACTACTCCAGAGTTAACCACAGGATTATCCTTTGCTCCTACCACTCCTTGGAGAACAGTACACTGACCTTCTCTGTTCTCCCATCCCTGATACTCCTTCAGTTTTCCTTCACCAGAGTAAATACAAATTAGATCACAGCCTAGCCCACAAGACCTTGTTTGTTTGTTCTTTCCTTGTGTCTCTTCATGAAAAGAACATTATTAACTCAATAAAAGAAGAAATATGTATCTGAGCTCAAAAAAAAATCCACAGGAGGGTCAATAAAAGCATACTCTTGTGACAGTGCAGATCTGTGGCAGGACCTTATATGGCCAGCTTCACGGTTCAATATTTGCTGAAACCTCACCATCTGTAGGCTCTGTGCCTGCTTGTGTGGATATAGACACTTAAGAGACCGTCTGTCCTCATGGATATCGTAATTTAGTAAGGGAAACAAACATAAAAATAAATACAATACAGTCTAGTATGTGTAATAACAGAAGTGCATACATGGTTGAGGAATACTACAGAGGTGGTCAGGAGGTATATAAATAGGTTTATGAGGGATAGATTAGAAAGAAAATAAATGCATGCAAACAAGGGAAAGAAAGAATAATGCAATAATGCCAAGGCCTAGAGGCATGAAATAGCAGGCCACGAGCAGATGGGTAAAATCTGGTGTTGCTGTTTAGTCACTAAGTCACGTCCAACACTTTGTGACCCCATGGGACTGCAGCATGCCAGGCTTCCCTGTCCCTGATTATCTCCTGGAATTTGCTCAAATTCACATCCAGAGTCTGATGAGGCAAACTGTAGGTGTTTGGCATATGAGAGAGGATGGCAGGGGAAGGACAATGCCAGGCCTGATGATTAAAAAGTGTGGACTGAAAAAAAAAAGTCTCTCCAGTTCTCAACCTGGTATACTTCCACCAGCTCCAATAGCTCACTTTGGTGGTACAGCTCACCCAAGGCTGTTTTGATAGGTGGGTAAAGGATAAAGAGAATACAGGACTGATTCTTATGTGTAATTTACAAAACCTCTCTGCTCCACCAAGTATCCAGTTCTCACAACCAAAAGAGCCAAACTAAAATGGGCATTATCCTGGAAGAAGAGGCAAAGTAAGCAAAGGAAAGCAAGGATGATAACACTATGGACTGAGTAGATGACAATCCTACAAAAGCAGCTTGCAAAAAAAAAAAAAAGATGTGGAAAAACAAGGGAAAGATATCACAAAACCCAAAAGATGTTAAGAAAGTGGAAACAATCAACTGTCAAACACTGCAGAAAACTCAAGGAAGGACTAAGAAGTACTCTCTACTTGGCATACAGGTGGTCATTGGAGAGAGCAATTCAACTGGAAGTGGTGCGAGCAAAAGCCAGGACATAGAGGGTTAAGGCAGGAAGAGAAGAAAAAGGCAAAGGAGAAAGGAAGGCATCATTACATGAAGACATTGAAAAAAATTCTCCTACACTTTAAGTTGATGATGGGGGCAGGATGAAGGGATGCTACAGAATAGAAAGTTGAGGTAGCTTGTTGAGAAACAAGGCTGGGGGGATGGGAGTTACAAAATTGTTTGGAGAGAGTACCAATCACTTGGAATCTCTGAGAGAAACAGGAAATGCATTAATGAGCAACACTGATGGCCCAAGTGGAACTGGATATCAGAAATCTATAGAGGAACTTCCCTGATGGTCCAGTGGCTACCACTCCATGCTCCCAATGCAGGGGGCTTGGGTCTGATCCCTTGTCAGGGAAGGAGATCCACATGCCACAATTAAAGATCTTGCATGCAACAAAGATTGAAGATCCAACATGCTGTAACTAAGACCTGGTACAGCCAAATATATAATTCTTTTAATGGTATTAAAAAACCTGTAGAGATGCCAGTATACATAGCTGTGATTTTTTTTTCCAGCAGCACTCAGCTTCTAAGGTATAAATTTGAATTGGCAGGCAGGATCAAAATCTGAGCAGTGATGGTGTTGGTATGGAAACAAGGAGAATGTATGATTATGAGGCCCAGGACAGGTAGAGGAAAAAAAAAGACACGGAGGAGAGTTAGACCAACAGGGAGAAAGTAAAAATGTAAAGACATAAATGAGCTAATGTAAAAGATACTGTAAACGAAGTCTGACACAAACTGAAAAATAGAGTCCCATCTCTTACACATTAAATGCCTTAGAACCACCAAGCTGTTTTAGTCACTGAGATTTCTGGTGCCTGAGAGAGAAGGAAGTATGACAAACTTACCAAACAGTCACGCTGCAGGGTCTTGCATAGAGCATTGTACATATCGGCATCCAAAAAGAGCCCATCAGGGATGTCTTGTAAGAAGTCCAGATCTTTAAGGGTAGGGAGAGGTTTCTCTCGCTCTTTTTGGGAAGCTCGCCTTTTGTATGTTGAGCCCTTGAGGTCATACTTGATATGCATCTTGACTGACCGTGGTAAGAGATTGTTCATCACGACAATTCGAATATTCTTACCACCTGCCTGCACACAGTACAGTCCATAGAACTTAGGCAGCAAAGTCCGAGGGTTCTGGTTGAGGTTCTGAGGGCAAGAAAGTTAAAAAGCAGGAGAAGAGCAAGTCAGCTGATTTTCAGTGAAGCTCAAGGGCAAAACCTGCCACCCACCTTCCTCTGTCTGCTCATGGGATTTCAGACAATCTGCCTGCCCAGAAGCCCATATTGTAATTGTTTTAAAACTTCCCAATGTATCTATCTCAATAATGGTATCACCACCAAGCCACATAGCAGATCCTCCCATATACTAAGCAGTCAGGATACTACACATATGATGAATATATTCCTTTAGATAGGTTTAAGGGAAGACAGCACTGAAAAAGTCTTAACCCTTAGCCTTCTTTACAGTATATTTTTGTTGAGTATGATGGGAGGCAAAGGAGAGTTCCCTAACTTCTCCAGAACCTCCAAGAGGTATCAATAAGAATGAATATAGTACTATCAAGAGAAGTAACCAACCTCATTCCCTGATTTAGGAGCTGGACTAAGAATGGAAAGCAAAATCATCATTGAATAAAAACAAAAATAAAACAAATGGGATCCAATTAAACTTAGAAGCTTTTGCACAGCAAAGGAAAACATCAAAAAAATAAAAGGAAATCCCCAGAATGGGAGAAAATATTTGCAAATGAAGCAACCAACAAGCAATTAATCTCCAAAATATACAAACAGCTCAAGCAGGTCAATAACAACAACAACAAAAAACAACCCAATCAAAAAATGGGTGGAAGATCTAAACAGACATTTCTCCAAAGACATACAGATGGCCAAGAGGCACATGAAAAGATGCTCAACATCACTAATTATTAGAGAAATGCAAATCAGAAAAATTACAGTGACGTATCACCTCACATAGTTCAAAATGGCCATCATCAAAAAATCTACAAACAATGACAGAGAGGGTGTGGAGAAAAAGGAACCTTCCTACATTGTTGGTGGGACTGTAAACTGGTATAGCTACTAATGGAGTGTGGTATGGAGGTCCCTTAAAAAACTAGAGTTACCATATGATCCAGCCATATCAATCCTGGGCATATATCCAGAGAAAATCCTAATTTGAAAGGATACACATACCCCAATGTTCATTGCAGCACTATTTACAAAAATAGCCATGACATGGAAGCAACTTATATGTCCACTGACAGAGGAATGGATTAAGATTTGGTCCATACGTACAATGGACTTTGTGTGTGCGCTCAGTGGTGTCCAACTCTTTGCAACCCCATAGACTATAGCCTGCTAGGCTCCTCTGTCCACAGAATTTTCCAGGCAAGAATACTGCAGTGGGATGCCATTTCCTACTCCAGGGGGTCTTCCCAACCCAGGGAACAAACCCACATCTCCTGCATCTCCTGCATTGGTAGGAGGATTCTTTTACCTGTGCCACCTGGGAAGCCCCATAACAAACAATTATTCAGCCATTAAAAAAAAAAAGTATGAAACAATGCCATTTGCAGTGACATGGATGGACCTAGAGACTGTCATACTGAGTGAAGTCAGTCAGAGAAAGACAAATATATAACACTTTTAAGTGGAATATAAAGAAATGGTAAAAATGAACATATTTCAAAACAGAAGTTGAGTCATCAATGTAGAAAACAAAACTTGTGGTTACCAGAGGGAAAGGGAAGGGCATACATTGGGAGATTGAAATTGACATATACACACTACTATAAATAGAACAGGGAGAAGGCGATGGCACCCACTCCAGTGCTCTTGCCTGGGAAATCCCATGGACGGAGGAGCCTGGTCAGTTACAGTCCATGGGGTCGCCAAGAGTCGGACACGACTGAATGACTTCACTTTCACTTTTCACCTTCATGCACTGGAGAAGGAAATGGCAACCCACTCCAGTATTCTTGCCTAGAGAATCCCAGGGATGGCGAAGCCTGGTGGGCTGCCACCTATGGGGTCGCACAGAGGTGGACATGACTGACATGACTCAGCAGTAGCATAAACAGAATAGATAATTAATAAGAATATACTGAATAGAACAGGGAACTCTGTTCAATACTCTGTAATGACCCAGACATGGGAATAGAATCTAAAGAAAAAGTAGACATTATGTGTATGTATAACTGACACACTTTGCTGTCCATCAGAAATTAACACAGCATTGTATATCAACTATACTCTAAACAAATAAATAAACATTACTGAATTTTGTCTTTGGGTAGGAAGATCTAAGCTAGGTAACACTTAAAATAGGACAGATAAACAAAGCCCCCTTTAGCCATAGAGAGGCAAAGGAGATGGGACCAAAAGCACAAAGATGAACTATATCCCTAAGACAGAAGCGCTGACATTGCTTTCCCCCTGACGTCAACCTCCCCAGCCTTGTCCAGGAGTGGAGTGGGCAGCTCAAGCAGTCGGTGCTCCTTGTCCTCTCACCATGTAGTATCCTGGAAGCAGCTTCTGTAGAAACTCCGCCTCTTTGTGCTGGACTGTTTTTATGATGAACTCATCATCACTGGACACATAGAAGAGGGAACCACTAGCCCCAGAGTTGCAGAGTTCAATCAGTGGTTCATTGCAGAGGGAGTACTAGGGCCCAAAGAAAAGAAAGCAAGAGGTTCAGAGACACCAGGGCCTCCCCAATCAGAAATCAACTACAGATGCAATTCTACTCTAAAATAAAAAATAAGATCAAGAATGTGAAGAGGTCTTCCTTTGGAAGTACTCTTCTGATACTGGTAGCCCAGAGTCCTGAGGTCCGGAAGCTTACCAAGTAATCATCAGGCCGGATACCAAATAACTCCCGAAAGTATCGGAAGGCAACAGGTGCGTAGGTCTTGAATCGAAAGTCATTGTAGTGATGAGCAGGGGTCAGGTTGCTGCCTTCACTGTGGGGTTAAATAGAAGAAGCCATAACTTACCAGTCCCTATAATTTAGGGAGTCCCTTTGGTTCTCTCAGGAGGCATGTCACCCAGAGCCAAGTCAATACATGCCTCCTGAGAGGACCAAAGGGACTGGATCAGTCAGTTACATAATGGGACAAAGGTGCGACACAGGGATTAAGACAAGGGGCAGGGAATCATATTACCTCCTACCCAATGCCCTGAATTGCTTTTCAGGGCTCAGTCCACAGGCCAGAGGCTCACACAAGCATCCAAAGTATACCATCTGCTGTCCAAATTCTCCAGTCCCACATCACACTGATTAAAATCAGGCTAAGGATTGGATGCATGCCTAAATTAGGGATGAATCTCTAAAATGTCCTAATGTTGATATAAAAAAGCCACATTTCCCAGGACATTCTTCTGAACATTAATTAACCACTGTACCTTGGGAAGAAAATACTCTCCACCACATAGAAGTCTTGCATGAGGACATCCCGCTCTGGTTTGGTACTCAGGCTTCCCACAGTGTGAGTAATGCCTAACTGGATGGCACCTTTTAAGGCTGATGAGGTTGTCTGAAACAAGAGGAAAGTTTCTAGTATTAAATCTGATTATGGCAGTAAAAACTCAGGAGAGAAGAACCAGAAGAAACAATGGAAAGCAAATGCCCTCTGGGCAATCCAATTTCGCCACCTTCATGGCTTCACATGGCAGTGAAGCCTGCAAAGACTGAAGAGGCATGAAGACACAGAGTAGCGAAGGTGTGACTGTGGGAGCCAGCCTTCACTAGGCACAGTGTTCTCTCCAACCCACATTTACCTCTGCAAGATACACTGAAATGAGAGAACAATCTTAGGTCTCACTCCAAAGGTTCCTGCCCCCGGAGGATACAAAGTCCTCCAAACATTTTATTCATCAGATACAGAATGTAACTAAAATTAAATGATATTCTGACTGACTGAAGCTCAGTCCTCTAAGGCCAGGCCTGAGTGATGTCCCAAGGCCAAGAGTGGCAAAAAAAAAAGCTACTAACAGATAAAAAAAGCCTGAAAAATCAAAATTATTTCTGAGAGAAATATTTAGCTTTAAAATTATCATGTATGTGTGCTTAGTCGCTCATTTGTGTCCGACTCCTTGTGACCCCATGGACTGTAGCGCTCCAGGCTCCTCTGTCCACGGGGATTATCCAGGCAAGAATACTGGAGGGCGTTGCCATGCCCTCCTCCAGGGGATCTTCCCAACCCAGGGATTGAACCCAGGTCTCCTGCATTGCAGGTGGATTCTTTACCATCTGAACCACCAGGGAAGCCCATTATCATACTACAGTCAAAATACAAATACAAGAGCCCCATTCTTGCAATCCAGGATTCCAATGTCATGAGAAAATGTCATATTAACTAGATCTGTGCTATCTAATACAGTAGTTAGTAGCCACACTTTGCTATTTAATTCTAAGTTAATTAAATTAAATTTAAAAATCACTTCTTTAGTTTTGCTAGACACATTCAGGTATGATTAGTGGCTACCACACTAGATAACACAATATAGCACATTTCAATCACTGTAGAAAGTTCTATTGGACAGTTTTGTTCTAAGCAATTTCCCTATCCCCAACCCTTACCAAGTATTACTTGTCTTTCTACTTAGTCCTCATGGGGCATTAAAATTATAATTAATTTTTTAAGTGCCTGCCTCTCTTAGACTAGAAACTCAGCTTTTTGTCTGAGTGTTCAGCACATAAAATGAGCTCAATAAATGTCTGCTGAATTGACATGGGCCTCAGAGCCCATTCCTGGGAAAAGTCAGGTCCCTGACAGAGAATGAGCAAGTCTACCTCTGTCACTCTGGACAACGCGGTAAGAAGAAAACAGACACAAGAAAATTGACATGGGCCAGACAAGGTACAGGTGCCATATAGGGGTTTAACACTCTACCCCAGGAAACCTAAGCATCTCCAATTAGTCCAGAACTGAAGAACTGGATCACTCCAGGATGCTTCTCTTCTGTTTTCCCTTCACCAGTTCAATTTTCTCTTCTTGGTTATTACTACTATCTTTTCAATCCATTTGATATCTCTAGCTCAAAATCAGGTGCTCTAGGCTCTATTCAGCAACTGAAACTATAATCTTAAAAAAACAAAACCTAGGAGCTTCCCTGGCAGCTCAGTGATGAATAATCTGCCTGCCAATGAAGGGGACGCACGTTTGATTCCTGGTCCAGGAGGATCCCACATGCCTGGCTGAGCCTGGGCGCCAAACTATTGAGCCTCTGCTTTGGAGCCTGGGAACCACAACTCCTGAGCCTATGTGGCACAGTTACTGAAGCCCGTGAGCTCTAGAACCCGTGCTCTGTAACAAGAGAAGCCACCCCAATGAGAAGTCCGCACAGCACAACTATGAGAGTAGCCCCTGCTCACCACGAGGAGAGAAAAGTCCACAAAGCAACAAAGACTCAGCACAGCCAAAAACAAACAAACAAATATTTAAAAAACAAAAAAGACTGGAGAAGGAAATGGCAACCCACTCCAGTATCCTTGCCTGAAAAAGCCCATGGACAGAGGAGCCTGGCGGGCTGCAGTCCATGGGGTTACATGACTGAGCATGTGTGCACGAGGGTGGAGGGTAGCAATAAACTGGTAGAACTAAAAAAAAAAAGAACAAAAAAAAAACCCCCAAAAAGACACAAAGAAACACATTTGACCTGCTGTCTGTATCACCAGGCTGAATTGGATCCAGCCTTCATTTTGTGTACATCCAGCACCAGAGCAAAGACAGACAAACTTCAAAAGACATGGTTCCCCAAAGCTAGGTAAAAATGGCCTTGAGGGCTTATTGCGATTTGTTTGTTTAGTTACTAAGTTGTGTCCGACTCCTCATGACCCCATGGACTGTAGCCCACCCAGTTCCTCTATGCAAGGGATTTGCCAGGCAAGAATGCTGAAGTGGGTTGCCATTACATGTTTATATCTTAACAGGGAAACTCAATTGCTTCAGCTCAGTGAAAATTCATCTAACATCAGATTTGTCCATTAAGAACATTCTCATTTAAACACATATACAGATATGTGTTTAGATAACTCACCCTTTGTGATGTAAATTCTAAAATTCAAATTGTATAATGGTTATTGTGCAAAGGTTTAGGGTATCAAGAAATGGGACAGAATGTGGAGAACATAATCAAAGAGACAAAACTAGCCCTTCCTGGAATAAGATGAAAGGGTTCCACTCAGACACACCTTTTTATATGTTGTCTCTCCTGAGGAATCAACACCTCGGTGACCTATTTTCTTCATGGACATGCCAGAGGAATAAGGCACCTATAAAAAGAAGACTAAACATTAGTATATAATTTCCACATAATACATCAAACTGCTACCATGACGGTACATCAAAATAAAACATTGAACATACCCTTTTTAGGATCAAGAACATTCTATAAAGTCTTCATAAGATCTACCCCATGCAAACACATGTTAGAGTGTTGCTACCCAAAGAATTACAACTGACTAAAAGAGCACTCCAAAGGACACGTATTTCACCTGTGGTCCTCAGAAAAATGACAAAGAAAATTAAAATGATTATCACTGAAGAAAAGCAGAAACAGGGGAAGTAGGAGATATTAATAGCAGCCCCAGGAAAAAGGAGAGACCCCCAGTGTACAAAAGCAAGACAGAAATAGAGCTTCACAGACACATATTCCTTTCAGAAATTACTCCTCCTCTAACTTTCAACCCAACCTGAATACTGTTTGCTCAAACTGACTTCACTAGCAGAAACGAACTGCTGCTGCTGCTGCTGCTAAGTCGCTTCAGTCGTGTCCAACTCTGTGTGACCCCACAGACGACAGCCCACCAGACTCCCCCGTCCCTGGGATTCTCCAGGCAAGAACACTGGAGTGGGTTGCCATTTCCTTCTCCAACGCATGAAAGTGAAAAGTCAAAGTGAAGTCACTCAGTCGTGTCCAACTCTTCGTGACCCCAGGGACTGCAGCCCACCAGGCTCCCCCGTCCATGGGATTTTCTAGGCAAGAGTACTGGAGTGGGGTGCCATGGCCTTCTCGGAGAAATGAACTAGCCACTGGCAAATACAAGTACCGTAAGTCCAGATATTAAAAGGCTGAGGCAATGAGACAAATTCTCTAAGAAAAGTGCCACCCTGCCTCAAAGAGATTCCTGAGAATATGATATGGCTTTGTTTTCTACTCACATGACAGCCTCGGAAAAAAGGAAGAAATAAAACCAGTGGAGCAGAACCTAGAAGGCTATCTCCACAGACAAAATGCCAGCACAATAGACATGAAGGTATTCTTCATAATGCCAATATTCATTAAGTTAATAAAGCCAAAAGGCAAAAAGACTATTGGAAATAGCATGTTACCATTTTAGGACCTGATATTTAAGTTCTACTATCCTTACTAAGGCCCTTAGTGGAGAAAGCCCTCAATAAATAACCTGACAGACCTTGGAAGATGTTCTGAGAGAAAAGCCTAAAATCCTATGCCAAAAGCGTCCACATTTGGCCCCGTCACAAAACCCAGGAGAGATGCAAAAAGTAAAGAAAGAGTCGGGAAATACATCATGAGAAGAAAATTAAACAAATATAAGATACTCAGCACAAAAAAGAAATACAGAAAATCAACAGTTTCAGTATGGTTAAAAGAAGTTCGCCATATTCACTGAAACTATGCAATCAGGAAGTATTAACAACGAAACAATAGAGTGAGTTTTAGTGTCAGACTGGCTTTGAATCCCAACCTTCTTAATGCCATATTATTAATTACGAGACCTTGGGCAAGCTAAAGAACCACTAATCCTCACTTTCTTCAACTATAATACATGGATAACAACAGTATATACTGTAATAGAGGTTCTTTGCGAGATTAAATAAGAATACCTACTTAGATACATTATTTACATTTTGGTACACTACATATATGAACAGTATGAAAAGACAAAAAGATAGGATACTGAAAGATGAACTCCCCAGGTCGGTAGGAACCCAATATGCTACTGGAGATCAGTGGAGAAATAACTCCAGAAAGAATGAAGGGATGGAGCCAAAGCAAAAACAACACCCAGTTGTGGATGTAACTGGTGATAGAAGCAAGGTCCGATGCTGTAAAGAGCAATACTGCATAGGAACCTGGAAAGTTAGGTCCATGAATCAAGGCAAATTGGAAGTGGTCAAACAGGAGATTGCAAGAGTGAACATTGACATTCTAAGAATCAGTGAACTAAGATGGACTGGAATGAGTGAATTTAACTCAGATGAGCATTCTATCTACTATTGTGGGCAGGAATCCCTTAGAAGAAATGGAGTAGCCATTACAGTCAACAAGAGAGTCCAAAATGCAGTACTCAGATGCAATCTCAAAAACGAGAGAATGATCTCTGTTCATTTCCAAGGCAAACCATTCAATATCACGGTAATCCAAGTCTATGCCCCGACCAGTAACACTGAAGAAGCTGAAGTTGAACAGTTCTGGAAGATCTACAAGACCTCTTAGAACTAACACCCAAAAAAGATGTCCTTTTCATTATAGGGGACTGGAATGCCAAAGTAGGAAGTCAAGAAATACCTGGAGTAACAGGCAAATTTGACCTTGGAGGACAGAATGAAGCAGGGCAAAGGCTAATAGAGTTTTGCCAAGAGAACGCACTGGTCACAGCAAACACCCTCTTCCAACAACACAAAAGAAGACTCTACACATGGACATCACCAGATGGTCAACACCAAAATCAGACTGATTATATTCTTTGCAGCCAAAGATGGAGAAGCTCTATACAGTCAGCAAAAACAAGACCGGGAGCTGACTGTGGCTCAGATCATGAACTCCTTATTGCCAAATTCAGACTTAAATTGAAGAAAATGTGGAAAACCACTAGACCATTCAGGTATGACCTAAGTCAAATACCTTATGATTATACAATGAAAGTGAGAAATAGATATAAGGGAATAGATCTGATAGAAAGAATGCCTGATAAACTAAGGACAGAGGTTCGTGACACTGTACAGGAGATAGGGATCAATACAATCCCCAAGAAAAAGAAATGCAAAAAAGCAAAATGGCTGTCTGAGGAGGCCTTACAAATAGCTGAGAAAAGAGAAGCGAAAAGCAAAGGAGAAAGGAAAGTTTCAAAGAATAGCAAAGAGAGATAAGAAAGCCTTCCTCAGCAATCAATGCAAAGAAATAGAGGAAAACAATAGAATAGGAAAGACTAGAGATCTCGTCAAGAAAATTAGAGATACCAAGGGAACATTTTATGCAAAGATGGGCTCAATAAAGGACAGAAATGGTATGGACCTAACAGAAGCAGAAGATATTAAGAAGAGGTGGTAAGAATACACAGAAGAACTACACAAAAAAGATCTTCACAACCCAGATAATCACGATGGTGTGATCACTCACCTAGAGCCAGACATCCTGGAATGTGAAGGCAAGTGAACCTTAGGAAGCATCACTACGAACAAAGCTAATGGAGGTGATGGAATTCCAGCTGAGCTATTTCAAATCCTAAAAGATGATGCTGTGAAAGTGCTGCGCTCAATATATCAGCAAATTTAGAAAACTCAGCAGTGGCCATGGGACTGGAAAAGGTCAGTTTTCACTCCAATCCCAAAGAAAGGCAATGCCAAAGAATGTTCAAACTACGCACAATTACACTCATCTCACACACTAGCAAAGCAACGCTCCAAATTCTCCAAGCCAGGCTTCAACAGTATGTGAACTGTGAACTTCAAGATGTTCAAGCTGGACTCAGAAAAGGCAAAGGAACCAGAGATCAAATTGCCAACATCCATTGGATCATCGAAAAGGCTAGAGAGTTCCAGAAAAACATCTATTTTTGCTTAAAGCCTTTGACTGCATGGATCACAATAAACTGTGGAAAATCTTGAAAGAGATGGGAATACCAGACCACCTGACCTGCCTCTTCAGAAACCTGTATGCAGGTCAGGAAGCAACAGTTAGAACTGAACATGGAACAACAGACTGGTTCCAAATAGGAAAAGAAGTACGTCAAGGCTGTATATTGTCACCCTGATTATTTAACTTATATGCAGAGTACATCATGAGAAACGCTGGGCTGGAGAAAGCACAAGCAGGAATCAAGATTGCGGGGAGAAATATCAATAACCTCATATATGCAGATGACACAACCCTTATGGCAGGAAGTGAAGAACTACGGGCCTTTTGATGAAAATGAAAGAGGAGAGTGAAAAAGTTGGCTTAAAGCTCAACATTAAAAAAAAAAAAAGCTCAATATTCAGAAACATGGCATCAGTCCCATCCTTCATGGCAAATAGATGGGGAAACAGTGGCTGAGTTTTTATTTTTTGGGGCTCCAAAATCACTGTGGATGGTGACTGCAGCCATGAAATTAAAGGACACTTACTCCTTGGAAGGAAAGTTATGACCAACCTAGACGGCATATTAAAAAGCAGAGACATTACTTTGCCAACAAAGGTCCGTCTAGTCAAGGCTATGGTTTTTCCAGTAGTCATGTATGGATGTGAGAGTTGGACTATAAAGAAAGCTGAGTGCCAAAGAATTGATGCTTTTGAACTCTGGTGTTGAAGAAGACTCTTAAGAGTCCCTTGAACTACAAGGAGATCCAACCAATACATGCTAAAGAAGATCAGTCCTGGGTGTTCATTGGAAGGACTGATGTTGAAGCTGAAACTCCAATATTTTGGCCACCTGATGCAAAGAGCTGACTCATTTGAAAAGACCCTGATGTTGGGAAAGATTGAAGGCAGGAGAAGAAGGGGATGACAGAGGATGAGATGGTTAGATGGCATCACCGATTCAATGGACATGAGTTCGGGTAAATTCTGGGAGTTGGTGATGGACAGGGAGGCCTTGCGTGCGGTGGTTCATGGGTTGCAAAGAGTCAGAGATGACTGAGCGACTGAACTGAACACTACATTTGGTACATTTAAAAATGCTCAATAGTGACTTCCCTGGTGGTTCAGTGGCCAAGACTCTATGCTCCCAATGCAGGGGGCCCAGGTTCCATTTCTGGTCAGAGAACTAAACCCCACATGCGACAACTAAGACTGATGCAGAGAAATAAATAAAAAAAATAAAATACTCAACTAAAAATACTCAATAAATCTGAGCTGCTGTTAATATTCATAATAAACTGTGACAAATGTAGATTTGTATAACTTCTAGCCTACCAAAGAGATGTGAGAACCATACCTATCAACAGATTTCAAGACCCTAGTAGGGAGGAAACAAGGATGTCATAAACAGGTATCCTTCTATCCCAGAATTAAGGTCTTAGAACCACTGTGTATCAATATATAAAACTCACCTCAGATGCCGTGGGTCTCTTGATTCCAGATGCTGTTAAAACAAACAAACAAACAAACATAACTATAAATATGTACACACACTCGCATGATCTCTATCAAGCTCACTGAAACAATTAGGATTTGAGTCAAACTAAACCTGACAATGGGTTCCTGCCTCTTGCTCAGTGATACCAGATCCTTTTGGATAGGGATTTTAAATGTCCTTTCCTTTTCCTCCTCCATACTCACAGAGCCCTTATACATATTCCAGTCTTCTTCTAGTTCCTTTTTCTTATCCAAGTGTTCACATTTTCTCTAAGAAATACATCTGTTCTTGACATTTAACCATCAGAGCCAAAGTGTCTCATTTGATACCATGGTTGAAAGAAAAAGGGCATAAGAGATACCAAAGACTTAGTGGACAGCCTAGACTTCATTAATAATTTTTCCTGTAGAGCTAAAAGGATAAGAAGCTTTAGAGCATATCTATGTGCTTTGCATTTCTACTAACTATTTCAGAAGAAAAGGTAAAGAGTTGATCTACAGAAGCTTTACTTACAATAGCCAAGATATGGAAGCACCTAAGTGTCCATCAACAGATCAATGAATAAAGCAGCTCTGGGTGTCTATGTGTGCGTGTGTGTGTCTGTACACAATAGAATACCACTCAGTCACAGAAAAGAACGAAATCCTGCCATCTCCAACAATGTGGATGGCCCCAGAGTATTATGCTTAGAGAAATAATTCAGAGAAAAACACATTATGTTATCACTGATATGTGAAATCTAAAAAATAAAACAAATGTATATAACAAAAACAGACTCACAGAGAACTAGTGGTTACCAGTGGGAAGTGAAAAGGGCAGAAGGGCAAGCTGGGGTAGGGGATAAGCGACACAAACTATTATGTATAAAATAAATAAGCAAATAAATAAATAAGCAAGGATATATTGTACAGCAAAAGGAAATATAGCCATTACTAAGTAGTAATTTTAAATGGAGTATAGTTTATAAAAATATTGAATAATTAACTGTATACCTAAAACTAAAATAATATTGTAAATCAACTATCCTTCAATTAAAAGAAGAGTTGGTCTGTAGAGATGAAGAAGCTATGGATGGGAAAACGCAATGATGAAAAAATGAAAAAGCATTCAGTGCAGGCAAAACCTGATTCTATATCCTTACATCTTCATCTTGATCCTGCTGTAAATGCAACAGGAATTTGTTGTTTACTTACTAAATATTTAATCAGTGGAGATGTGTAAGGTATGTGTGTGGTTAAATATCATTTATGACTTTTATCAGTTTAAATGTAGAAAAGATCTCAAGAATATATTTAGAAAGTGACTAAAAGACCACTATCCATAGAAAACTACTCCAAAAGGTTAAATCAGTTCTTTTTTTCTTAAGGTTAAGTCAGTTCTTAAGGGTATGCCATCCTAAAGACTTCACCCATGATCACACTGGAGACACATGATCACTCAGGGAGACAGACCTTTCTCCCCTTCATGTTGAAAACTGTTGGTCTTTTTCCTTCAAAGACTACTGATATATTACTTTGATCCAGTTCAAGAATTCAAAGAGAATAAAGATTAGCCACATTAAAGAAAATTAAAAAGAATCCAGGGACTTCCCTGATGGTCCAGTGGTTAAGATTCCACCTTCCACAGCAGAGGATGCAGGTCTGATCCCTGACTGGGTAACAAAGATCCCACATGCCACGGAACAACTAAGCCCAAGTACTGCAACTACTGAGCCTCCACACCACAAGAGCGTCCATGTGTCACAACCAAAGAGTTCGCATGATGCAACAAAGATCCCGTGTTGTGCAACTAAGACCTGATGCAGCCAAGTAAATAATAAAACAAATTTTAATAAAAAAGAATCCAAATGGGGCGAATCCTCAATAACATGTTAGTAGCTGAGTAAGAAAATCTCAGTTCTGGTCCATATGTAAGGTTTAATGGTAAAAGCATTTCTGGTACCAATAAGCCGAGCAGCAAAATTTCCTTTCCCTTAATGAGTCAGAGTAGCAAAATTATGGGGAACAGATGGTTTTCATTCCTCTTTCCAAAAAAGGAGGTAAGAAAAATGTCATCTAGCTGTTAGGAAGATGTGCTGCATAAAATGACCCAAAAAATTAGAAAAACAGCAAAGCCCCAAAATCTATGCTTTTTGCAGGGTGCTTCATCTGCAATCAGGTCAAGTTGAGGTAGGTGAAAGACCTGGAACCTAGGACTGGAACCCTAAGCTAAAGCTTCCAAGGAACAGTAAGCCAGCACAACTCAGATTCAAGATTAAAACTGCTAACTTAACTGTAAAATTTAAGGAACTTACTAACAAAAAATTAGTCAAACCCTTTGAATCTTAAAACCCTTCAGATGAGAGCCAACATGCTGACCTAGGTTCAGATCCCTGTTGTGTGTTAGTCATTCAGTCATGTCTGACTCTTTGCGACCTCATGGACTGTAGCCCACCAGGCTCCTCTGTCCATGGAATCTCGCGGCAAGAATACTGGAGTGGGTTGCCATCCCCATCTCCAGGAGATCTTCCCAACCCAGGGACAAACCCGGGTCTCCCACATTGCAGGCAGACTGAGCCACAAGGGAAGTCCTCAAATCCCTGTTATATCAGGCAAATTATTCTCTATTAATAACTAAAAAAGAAGAATCTATATTAGAAGGTTTGTGTAAAGATTAGATGAGATAAACTAAATCAAAGTACTTCATGGACTGTGATGTGCTACACAAATATGTTGTCATATGTGAGTTCTAATGGAAGAGCAAAGTTGGCCCCTCAGGAAGGTTTAATGTTCAATTACCTAGACCATCATGAAATTCTAATTAGTACCTCAAAGTTCTTGGCTGCTCCCCAAACCCTTAGCCTCCCCATATCCCCAACAAACTCTTGTACAAGTATACACACAACAGTAGAATTAGTGATTCTCAATGAAGAAATCAGCATTCTTTCAGTTGAGAAAACAACACTGTTTCTGGACTCTTTGGTCAGTACTTGGCTTATTTCTTCCTCTTTTATCCAAAAGGAAGGGGTTTGGAGGGATCTGACAGAACCAAGAGCCAATGTCCAATCCTAGGCTGACAGTTTCTCCTAGAACAGAACAACCTCTTCATGCAAGGAGTCACTGGACCAAATTAAACAATGAATGAAAAAAGCAGGTAAGTGAGTTCAAGGCAGAGTGTAAGCTCGGGGCCTTCTTACTCCCTAAAAAGTTCTACCTTGCTACCATTCCTAGTTTTATCTCACAAACACATAGCTCCAGTGCCACTACACTCTTGCAAAGCACCCAGAATGAGGGTGGGAGGACTTAACTCAGTGGAATATGGTGCCAATTACTTAGCTATCTCCAACTGCAAAACTTGGATTAATCCCAAAACACTACAGCTGAGGCAGTTGGAAGGATATTGGGGTCTGAATAATAATAGGATTGGGGTCCAGTGGTTAAGAATCCATCATGCAATACAGGGGACACTGGTTTGAACCCTAGTCTGGGAAGATCCCACATGCCAAAGGGCATATGAGCCCGTGAGCCACAACTACTAAGCCCATGCACCTAGAATCTGTGCTCAGCAATGAGAAGCCACTGCAGTGAGAAGCCTGCAAGAGTAGCCTCTGCTCACAGCAACCAGAGAAAGCCAGTGTGCAGTGACAAAAACCCAGCGCAACCAAAAATAAAAATTATTAAAAAATAATCATCAAAACAAGTAACAACAGGATGGAGAATCAGGAATCAAGACTCATTCTCGTCCTTGTCTGAAGTTTTGCTCCTAGGGTACAGGTCAGAACGCCCAAACTACCAAAGAATGGACAGGAATAGAAAAGTAGAGAATCATATTAATGTTGCTATAACATCCAGCTTGGTAGAGAAGAAAACCAATGAACAGCAGAGTAACATTTTAGGGAACAAAGTACCAACTGCTAAGGCTTGATGGCTTGGGCCACTTGGCTCATGTCAATGAGAAAATGCCTACTGACTGAAGAGTCACCAGTACCTGTTCACCTCTTCTTAATCGAGCTTTCTCTTCAGAAGGAACAGCAGCAGAAACAGAGGAAAGCAGAGATGCAGCGGGTGGGGGATTGGAAACAAAAAGAAGAGAAAAGAATACCAACTCAGTAATGGCAACACCCATCCAGCCAATGTTTAAGGAGAATGAGATTTATCCCTAAATTAGGATAAGATTAGAGTATTAGTCAACAGAAAATCTGTTTTCTAGCATGTATAAAAAATACTGATAAGTATAAACTATCATCTTATAATCCATACCCACAATCCATATATAGCATCCTTTTTTGGGTGAGGAAAACTGCAGGTCACGAAGCAACAATTAGAATCAAACATGGAACAACAGACTGGTTCAAAACTGGGAAAGGAGTGCATCAACGATGTATGTTGTAACCCTGTTTATTTATTTAACTTATAAGCATCATGCAAAATGCCAGGCTGGATGAATCACAAGCAGGAATCAAGATTGCAAGGAAAAATATCAATAACCACAGATGTGCAGATGACACCACCCTTATGGCAGAAAGCAAAGAACTAAAGAGCCTCTTGAAGGTAAAAGAGAGTGAAAAAGCTGGCTTAAAACTCAATATTTAAAAAACTAAGATCATGGCATCCAGTCCCATCACTTCATGGCAAATAGGTGGGGAAACAATGGGAAACAGTGACAGACTTTATTTTCTTGGACTCCAAAATCACTGCGGACAGTGACCGTAGCCATGAAATTAAAAGACGCTTGCTCCATGGTAGAAAAGCTACGACAAACCTAGGCAACATATTAAAAAGCAGAGACTTCACTTTGCAGACAAACGTCTGTCTAGTCAAAGCTATGGTTTTTCCAGTAGTCATGTACGGACATGAGAGCTGGGCCATAAAGCTGAGCGCTGAAGAATTGATGCTTTTGAACTGTGGTGCTGGAGAAGATTCTTCAAAGTCCCTTGGACTGTAAGGAGATCAAACCAGTCAATTCTAAAGAAAATCAATCCTGAATATTCACTGGAAGGACTGATGCTTAAGCTCCAGTACTTTAGCCACCTGATGCAAAGAGCCTACTCACTGGAAAAGACCCTGATGCTGGAAAAGACTGAAGGCAGGAAGAGAAGGGGACAAGAGAGGATGAGATGGCTGGATGGCATCACTGACACAATGGACCTGAGTTTGAGCAATCTCTAGGAGATGGTGAAGGACAGGGAAGCCTGGTATGCTACAGTCCATGGGGTTGCAAAGAGTCGGAGACAACTGAGCGACTGAACAATAACTACTACTGCGTTCCAATGTTAAATTTCCTCCTCTTCAGGGAAAAACGTTTCCTTCATGTTTGTTTGACCTTCATGATCATGTAGTTCCTACTTATTAATAGACCCTGGACCAAGAAGCATTCTAAACCAAAGGCTAATGTTGCTCCACTGGCAGCAAAAAATAAAGCCATGACTAACAGGTTGTGTCAGAAAAATAACTGTGGAAACAGCTTAATTCTAAGTGGGTCAATATATGATGCAGAGCCAATCATGGTGATTTCTTCAAGTACCAGTTCCTCTATGGAAACATGGAAATGTAAAAAGACCTAAGGGACATAAACAAGGACCAATGTATAAAACTGTACTCAATTACATATTTACTAATAAAGACTGGCTTGTTCACTAATAACTAAACAAATAAAAGACCTAGAGAAGCAAGGATATACTCACTTCTGGAATTTTTTAAAAATTCTGAGCAGACTGAGCAGGCTCAATCTGGCTGAGATCTATAGATATTAATGAAAACTGATTTTTAAATAGAACAAGTTGAGAACTTAGCCCCTTCAGCCACATATGAACCTATATGCCCATTTAAGCTAACAAATAAGTAACAATTTATATTAAGAAAAAATCACTCAACAAGGGCCTTTGAGATTTTAATCTATTCTTAATGTGAAAGTTGCTCAGTCGCGTTCAATTCTTTGGGACCACATGGACTATACATTCCTTGGAATTCTCCACGCCAGAATACTGAAGTGGGTAGCCTTTCCCTTCTCCAGGGGATCTTCCCAGCCAAGGGATCGAACTCAGGTCTCCTACATTGCAGGCAGATTCTTTACCAGCTGAGCCACAAGGGAAGCCCAATTCTTAATAGTAAGACGTATTTAACCTATAAATAAACAGAGCATAAGGGATGTGCTCAAAATTAAAGAGCAAAGGTGGTGACAGAGCCAGAATTGGAATTCACATTCCCAACTCCCCAGTTCAACTCTTTCTTCTAAACTATATTTTGTTTTCAATTTCCTGGCCACTCTGAGTCTAAGGGGGGAAAGGAAAGCACCAAAGGAACTAGAATGCTTTTACAAACTAAATAAATCTCACAACTGCTAATGGACAGTATAAACACATATTTTCTTCCCACTTTCATTGATAAAAGGATAAAGAGTCCTCCTTTGGTTCCTCTCAATGGAATTAACAATACCACCACTCTGTTCCTCCAGCAACAGTCATCAATGTCACTGGCAAAAACAGTAGGAAAGTACCTTTCATTTCTTTCAGTGAGATTATACTTGTTTTGAAACAGACAATGCCAGTATTCTAGAGGAGCAGAAGCTGCCTTTCAAAACTGACACTGGACAGAGCAATTTCACACAAGTTAAGGTCCTCACTAGCAGTACAAAGCACCTCTTTTCTTCATAAAAAGACATGAACAACTTCAACAGAAAAAGTTTTTAATTCTTCTCAGATTAAGAGTTTTCTTTTTGGTGTCAGTGGGACCATGAATCGATATGATTAAAAGCATAAGAGTTATGATCACTGAATCTGCAATGACAAAAAGAGGGCATGTGATAGGCAGTCTTGTTGTTTTAATGATCTTAGAATTGACTGTACAATCAGTTACCAATCCTCGGCAAAAATCCACATTAACTTCTAAAATATTTTCTGAAAGAATGATCAATAACTCCAGGTATTAAACATGGAGGAGCTCAGAATTTTGACAGCTCAAATCAGAAGGGGAAGTTCCCCTCTGCACTATTCTTTGTTGAACAACAAATATGTAATCTGGTTTAAAGTCAAGTTAGTTCACACACAAGACTTTTAGATTAGTGAGAGAGCAGTAAGGTATTGTGGGTAGGAATGTGGGCTCTGAAATCAGCACACCTAAGTTGGCTAGGTTTGAATACTAGATCTACATTTACTAACTAGATAACCTTGACAAGTTGGTTAAAACTCTCTAGGCCTTGGTTACCTCATCCATAAAATGGAGATATAATAACATGTACATCATAGGATAGTTATGAGAATTAAATAAATCCTATATAGCACTTAATACGTAATAAATGCTCTGTATATACTAGCAATTATTATTACCATTGTGAATTATAAAACCCCATCTACAGGATGAGATGGGTCAGGGGAAATGAGAGGTACAACAGAAAGGGGAAGAAAGAGAGACACATTTACTAAAACAAAAAGAAATGGAGTTACATGGGAAGACTTTGAGGGAGACAAAAGACAGTCAGTGGATCCATCTTACATTGTGGGACTGTGAGAAAAGAAGTTGCCATGTTAAGGCAGCATTTTTCTGGAGGGGAGAGGGGAACGGAAGCTGAAGTCAAGTAATCTTTCAGGACACTCACAGCCTTCTCAAAAGGCCATGCACACTACTAAAAAAAAAAAAAAATTGCAATTGTTATGGGGAAGAGGAGTCCGCTGCTAGTAACTGCAAGGAGCTCATGCTTCTTCAGCACAAATACACATCAGATCTACCTCTCTTACGGTTGACCCCACAGCACAGAAAGTGGAGACCTAAATGAGGAAAAACAGAAAATTATCACTTACTGCTGGGGTTCTACTTGCTTACAACAGAACAAGCATATTTTAAAGATACCCATATGACATCTCTAAAGTTTAAAATTATAAACAGGGTCTGAACTGATCCCCAGTACCATACTGTGAAATGTGAGAAGATTTTCTGCAGTTCTAGGTAAAAGTTAAAAAAAAAAAAAGCTCTGGCAGAAAAATTCCAGGAGTGATTACAAAACTTGTGACCCAAACAATTTCACTATTGCATGATTTCAGATTGGCAAAAAAATTTCAGGTATAAAGCTCCTTGCACACAGGCTTCTATCTTTTTAAAAAAGAATGTGTATACATTTTACACATTTGAGGATCTTCCACTCGTCAGGGTAATTTGGTAATATCTAGCATAGCAAAAAGTCTTAAAAGCAAATATGTACCATTTGTCCCAGAAGTGAGAATTTATCCTAAAGAAATAATTGGTCAAGTCGACATATATACAAATATATTTATTGCAGCATAGAGCATAGTATGTAACAACTATAATTGGAAAGAATCTAAATGTACAATATAGGTGATATAAGTTGTGGTATAGTCATAAAATAGAAAAAGTATAGAACCATTATCCTTATGTTCATTTACAGACAGGATGTCACAATAAACTGTTTAATGGAAAAAGCTAATAATTATATAGTACAGTATTTTTCTAAAACAATTATCTATAAAGTCATATGTATTTATACACATAAAAATGGTCCAGAAGATTATATACTAAAATGTTAAAATATGATTATATTGGATAGTATGGTTAAGGTGATATTCTAAGTTTTAAGTTTCTATTTTCCTTATGTATATAAATTTTCTATAACAAACAGGTAATTTAACAAAGAGATATGTAGGAATGGCTTTATTGTTGTTTTATAACCCATTCTCCCCAGTCAACTAGTGCTCAACAGTTCCACACATACAGATCACCATCAATCCCCTCCCTACATATTAACTTGAGCTCATTACAACGTATTATGCTGCTACAGAGATAGACTAGAAGGAAAAATGTGAAAGATGATGTCTAGAAAGCTGCTGACAACTGCAAGCTACAAATAAAGCATGACTCCTATACACTCACTCCTGTTCTCTACTATTTGAGATTCCCATACAACCTGAAACAAACCTGTATTAGTGCATATGCTAACAGGTTCTCCCTGAAGAATTTATCTTTAATATCCTTTAGAATATAAATATTCTCCCATAAAACAGGTATTCCTAATTTCAGCGTATCTCCTGGATATTTGAAAAATAAAGATCTACCCTCTAAATTATGAAAATTAGCTGAGAAATCTTTAATGCTACTAAAATAATTTCAAGACAACTGAACCAGCCAGTTAAGTGCCACAGAGGAAATAATTCAATCAATTCTTGCTAAAATACAAAGTTGAATCATACTATGTCACAGAAAATTTTTCTGAGTAACTCTGAATAGTCTTAAGGAAGCACTCCATTTTGGTCCTTAGTCCCAGCCTAAATTGTGTTTGTGATGAGAAAGATACCAAAGGGGCTGGTTTCTAGTCATTTGGCAAAACATCACTAGGACTCTCCATAAACTGGTCTGCAGCTACTAAAGCACTGCCAGCTGTGACTTACTATTGAGAGCAAGGAGAAAATGTAGAGAAAGAAAAGAAAATTAATACAATTCTGAGAAATGTGAAAAAGATAAACTTTAGAGGGGAAATGAGTTGGCCTTAAAAGAGGAGATAATCAAAACAGAGATATTTTCAGACAGTACACAGCTCCAAAATAAGAGTTATAGTTCCCCTCCCCCACTCCCCCTCAGCATGTGGAACAAAACAAGAGTTGGCCTTAATACCAGAGCCTCTCCCAGTGCTTTCAGAGAAGAAACATTTCCGTCAAAGATGAGATGACATCATCTTCCAGATGAGAAACTAAGAGGCAGCCTGTGACTGACTTTAATGCTTGAAGTACACACTTAATTTCAGGATGCTAGAACTGGGCAGGATGAGAATTCCTCAGACGAGTTTTGCCTGAACAGGTCATAAAGAAGAGATTCCAGAGACTTAGCTTAATGAGCTACCAATACTACTACATAAATCTGTCAATTCCCATAGAAATCAGAAAGAGACAAGCAGGCTTTTTGGAAGCAAAATGATAATTCTGAGGGGGTGTTTTGGTTGATAATATTGACAGCCTGAGATTTTTAACAAAAAGCAAAAACCTGCACAAAACAAAACAGTCATCACCCAGTTATTTGCTGGACTATCTCAAACAATCTCTCTAGTCCTCTTTAACCTGAAATACTGAACACCACTTTAATTATACCCCTGCATGTAGGAGGCATAATATGGCATCCAAATGAAAATACTCAGAAATGTCAGCCTGCCTCATGAGAAGCATTGATGAGCACACAGCTCTAAGAGGTAGTGTTGGGGGATGGGGGTCAGGCACTGTTATCATACCCTCAGTAAGAACTAAAAGAAGTCAATTATGAAAATCTAGCCACATCTTAGAGAAAAGTTAAATTTTGTTCCTTCAGTTTAGTTCAATCACTCAGTCATGTCCGACTCTTCGGGACCCCATGAATCGCAGCACATCAGGCCTCCCTGCTCATCACCAACTCCCAGAGTTTACTCAAACTCGGTCCATTGAGTCGGTGATGCCATCCAACCATCTCATCCTCGGTCGTCCCCTTCTCCTGCCTTCAATCTTTCCCAGCATCAGGGTCTTTTCAAATGAGTCAGTTCTTCGCTTCAGGTGGCCAAAGTACTGGAGTTTCAACTTCAACATCAGTCCTTCCAGTGAATATTCAGGACTGATTTCCTTTAGGATGGACCGGTTGGATTTTGCTCCTAGCAGGTGTTAATTTTTACTAAGAATTTTCTAGAAAAAGGTCTGAAAGGCAAGGATGCTCTTAGAAACAGAAGCTCAAAACTCACTGATCTACCAGTCCTGGGGTCAACCTGGCTCGGCTAAGAGCCGAGTAGCAAGGAATGAATCACAAATTTACCAAGACTCATCACGATAACATACAGACTTTATGCAAAGTCTTTGCCACTATTAACAATTTGAACCTGTTTCCTAATTTAGAAAATAAGAAGGAAAAAAAAAGAAAATAAGAGGGTTAAATTAAAACATCTCTGCATTTCCCTTTAATAAACTTTTGCTTCTAGTTCTATAAGCCACATTTCATGATTCCCAGCCCACAAATATGTATCTCTTAGCACTAAAATCCTGGTTGAAATTGGGGGGAGGGGGGGGGTGTGGATATCTGAGTCCTTCTTTAAAAGACCTGAGTCTCCTGGATAAGCCAATCCAAAGCTAAGGAGCAGTTCAGATTTCCAGCAGTTCACCACCTCCCAATTCTATTTCCAAACCTGGTTCTATCTTAAAAAAAAAAAAAAGCAGTATTGCTGGCCTGGAACATACATTGAGCTGAGAAAGTAACTTAAATAATATCACAGTGGGTATTAATTGTCTCAACAATGCACTTCAACCACCCACCAGACCCTAATGCAAGAAAATCACAGAGATATGACCAAGTTACTCCTCTACCATTTCTTTTATACAGATTCTTATCAATGAGAACTTCAAGTTTACTAGGCATGTTGTGCAAAGGAAAGCTAGTATTAAGCTATTAATATATCCTAAAAAAAAAAAAAAAACTCTTCCCATTCTCTCCCTGCAACTTCCCTTTGCTCACTCCCCATCAATGATACTGATCCTTTGAGATGGTGTTTATTCTGGGTTAACTCCATAAAGCTCAGTTTATTTTTTTTATTAATTTATTTTTTCATAAAGCTCAGTTTAATACACAGCAAATAGTAAGATATACTTAATTGCCTACAAGGAATCTACCCTTCTCTCTCTTTTTGCCAGTCTTCCTCAGACTCCAACAATAAGGGGACTTTGGGGGAATCGGATATTTAAAAATTAATATATTCTGCATACAGCCATTACAAATACAGACTTATTTAATAGGAGAAAAAAGAAAAATAATCAGTGACAAAATTTTAAAAGATGGAGGGGCTGAGGGAAAAAAGTTCACTTCAAACAGAAAACATTAAAACAACAGTTCATAGGAGATATGAATAACACAGGATCAACACATATGTAAAAATGAAACAATGTTCTCTTTTGATAGGAAAGGGTGGAGAAGTGAAGTGCAACAAGGGAAATGAGCCAGAAGGGGTTTCCTCTAGGAAACACCATTAGTCCAATCACTCTCTCTTTGAGACTGAATGATGGCCTGGGGTTTAGAACACAAAGGAACAGATTCCCTCTGCCTGGCTATCAGAAAATAGCATACTTCCTGAAGTATACTTGTATCCTTGATCAAGAGGACACACTCAGTAAAAAGAAAAACCAAACTGACAATGTTGGTCTTTTTGCTTTCTTCATGTCAGGTAAGAAAATGCCAAAATTCTAAGAAGGCAAACATCCAGCTTAAAGGGTAAAATACCACCCACCCACAACGCAGAACTTCTCACCAGTTACCTGAGTATGGCCTGGTGAAGTTGTTCACTTCACAGGCTGTAGTTTCCATTATTTTTATTTAAAAAATAGGCTGATGAAACATGTCATAACTAGTAGCCAGCATGTATTTGAGCACAGTTATTAATCAGAAGAGTTTTACATCAACTTAGAACAGCACACAGAAATTAACAAAACAAAAAACAAATTAACAAAACGTAACATGTATTTTGATATTTAAGGCTAACTTTAAGTACACATTACCAATTAATAACAGATACTGGATACCTATTAAGGCTATATAATTATACTTAACCCTGGGCTTGAGCAGTCATGGCAGAAATAAGTGGATAATTAAAAAACAGTGACATTCTGATGTCAGTTTTCTGGAAGAATCTACCAAGGGGACAAAATAAAAAAGGAGGGAGGGGTATGTGGGTGTAAGCCCTCTGTCGAAAAAGCAAAAGGAAAAATCTCTCCTTACTTATAAAATACCAACCAAAAGGATACCTGTTGATATTCTCATTACATGGCATTCTGTTCTGTCTTTACATTTCCAAACTCCAATTTCTCCCCCCAATAATGTGGCTTAAGTTGCTTTACTTTTCACTAGTATAGAAAAATTAAAGGGAAAGAGATCAGTCTACAAATGGCTTACAATGTACACAAACAACACAGACAAAAAACCCTCAACAAAATTCCTACCCTTTGGAGTTATCAGATTACAGCGTAGCTCTGCTGGGAAGGACAAAGCCACCAGAATCAAGGATTGATGAGACTGGCTCTACTACAAAAGCTCTGGGCAAAAATGTTTCTTTCCTGTGTTTTTTGGGGTCTCCCTCAGCAGTTTAAGGGTAGATCAGAAAAGGAGCTATAAATGTTACCTCCAAATCATCTGTACTCATGATAGAATCATTTGGTAATGTGTGTCAATTTCAGAAATGTTCTGGTCGGAAAGCAAAAGGAGCTACAGGTTCATGATTTTCTAGGGTTTCAAGTGCTTTTTCTGAGGGGAGTCACACAGGATTTTATCACAGCTCTTATTTCAGGGGAGCAAGGGACACTTTAATACTCGACTTTTTAACTCCTCCACTAAATTCAAATCAAGTCGCCAAAATAGAAACTACTCCCTTTCTGGTAGTAAAAAGGAGAGTTGGTGGCTTATTTTCAAATTCTTGATGAACTAGTCAAACTGCAAGACAGGTTCTCTATACTGTCACTAGTGTGACAGATGGTCGCACTGTCAACAGCATCTCATCAGTGCTTTTATTTTTTAAGTGGTACCACTGACCAAAGAATGAGGCTAGGACAGAAAAGAAGGAAAGGAATAAATTTCCTTTATACATTGAACAGCTGAGAGCAAACTGCATCACCTTTTATTAACAAAGTGTAAGAACAAGGAAATGCTGATGGTTCCTGTAAGATTGATATTAATTTATAATCACCTCCCTCTAATCCATACATGGTAGTTACTCCAATGGGAAAAGATCTCTCCAACATCTCTTAGAGTGTATGGTTTGCTTTAACTCCTATATTTAACCTATCAGCAGCATTAAAAGACCAGCTCCAGCTTAATGATTAAACAATATAGCCAAGGGTTTAATACTGACAGGGAAGAAATGTTTTAAATTACCAATCCTTAAAAAATAAATAAATAAATAAATAAATTACCAATCCTTTCTAATTTGAATGCCAAAAGATTTTGAACCTTAAAAGGATATGAATGACTTATGTAAAACATCAATCTGTCCCTGAATCCTAACATTCTTGTTTTGTATACACTGCCAGAGAGTCTTACCTTTAGGATTTCAGTTTCACCAATAAAATTTAAGTGAATTCAGCTAAACATCTAAGGACAATAAGTTGATTTTAGAATGATTAAAACACAAACACACACACTCCTACCTTGAATTTCTACAAAGCTAGCCTTTTAGCCTTTAACGATTTAGGAGACCATAAACCAATTTATTCCTGCCAATGCCTTAATTCCCCTGATGCTATCCAGACAAAGCACCATTCTCCTCCAATCACAAAACACATTCTCGATAGCCTTTTGGCATCTGACTCAAACACCTTATCCTCTTCAAAAACATATACTTGAAATGAAATATGAAATATTCTATTAAATTCAGTAAGCCAAAACTGAAGTGAACGTACAGATATGAGAAAGAAGTCAACACTGTGTATCTGCACACAATAATTCCATGTTTTCAGGAATATTTATGAGAATTTTTCTTAATTTCTTAATCCAACGGTTTCAATATTTGCCAAAAAAAGAGAGAAAGAGGGTGGAAAAAAAAGTTTAAAAAAAAAAAAAGGAATCTAAAGCTATTTATTTTTAGTCATTAAAAAAAATTTTTCAGCCATTTTTGTATCTTGACCTCACATATGATGAACACAATAAAGCCAAGAAGCTGTAAAATTGACTGAAATCTATTATTTTATCTTCTGGTGAAAACACAACAGCAAAAAACATTTACACTATCTGAATAACATCCTGCTAGTCTTAGAATCTGACAGAAAATATAAAAACATACAAAAATATCAAATATCAAAACAGATAGTAGGACTATCTGAAGTAGGAGCAAAAACCTGAAGACACCACTATGTGACAGAAATAGTTTCTTTTACTCCTAAATCTGCCCATGTGGACAATATTTTCATGAGATAGAGGCTGAATCAAATTCTGGGATATAAACACAAAAACACAAGTCTTTTAAGATTAAGCTGTTTCTAATACCTGATCTGATGGTTAAGAAGTCTGCTTAAAGACTGTACACAACCATTCTTGTTTCAGCACCGGGGGAGAGGAAAAAGATGTTTTAAATTAAGAAGCTACTGTATTTTTTTTTCATTTATTTTTATTAGTTGGAGGCTAATTACTTTACATCATTGCAGTGGTTTTTGTCATACATTGAAATGAATTAGCCATGTATTTTAAAACTTTCATTTTAACTTTATCCTTCTTCACACTTAGAATGCAACAAGAGCTGCTCCGGCCCACTAATCTTTTAGGAAAGGCAAAAACCACCTCTCAAGAAACTAAAAACAGATTGTACATAAACAAAACTTCAGTTTGTGAAGATATTTATGACCAAGTATGTGCTCACCCGAACTGAACAGGAAAAGGTGGAACCCTCTATTTAGTCAACTCAAGACGAGTAGGATGCAATCCCAGGATTAAGCAAATGTCAATGTCTCGGGTATAGCATCCGTCATCTGGCGGCCTCTCCTGTTCACAGTGTATAGGCAACAGTCACTGTGGAACCCCAGACATTTCTGATGGAAGCTCTAGAACAGTTTCTGACTCAAACTCCACTCCCCCCCAACAACATACATCCCAACACCACACATTTTCCCCTCCTACACACAATCTGTTGCTCCTTAGCCCTCCCTCAATCTTCAACAGTTTCTAACTACTTTGAGCTAGATTCCCTGGCTCCCTTCTCCAAGTGCCAATTTCGTGCCTAAGCATTCTTCCAGTCCATTTCCTATTATGCAATATTCCTACACAGCACTTAGAACCATCCCCACCCTATCCTTTTCAAGCCTAATTTCCAGCATCACCTCCCTCAACTTCTACTGCAATTCGAGACTACATCGTTCCGCCTTCTCTTAAGCCCTGCTTTTCCACATACCTCAGGCTCTCTTCAAAAACTTCCCACTCCTTCCCAAAGCTGGGCAATCAAGAGATAGGAATATCCAGAGGATGTTTGACAAAACGTGTTATCTTTCCTGCGAGCGCGCGCGTGTTTGGGGGAGGGGAGGCACGAAGTGAGAAGGAATGACGCATTAGGGGGAGGCTCTCAGGAGCCTCCAATAACTCCCACCCCCAACAAAATCCCAATCCCCTAACGCCTCAGCACTGGTAGCATCCCATAACGCTTCCATACCTTTTAAGTCCCATGGTTTCTCTTCCACGTTTTTATCCAATTAACCCCGCGATCAACGTGGAGTCTACCTGCCTCTCACACTACGTAATTCCTCCCTACTTATGAAGCTTCTATTTACTCTTTCTCTACTCCCTTCGATTCCCTTTCTCTTTCCTCCCTACTCCCACCGTCAATCTCCATCCTTTTCTGACCCTACTCCTTCAAAGTCCTCAAGTCGGTCTCCTTAAAGACAGCCAGTGTTTCTGACAGCTTCCCTTTTCTCAATCAAATCCATCCTTTCCTCACATTCCTTCTACCTGCTCTGAAAGCTACATGAAAGCCTAGTTCTCGGTCCTCCTTACCGGCAACGCCTCAAACATGTCCAGCTACAGGTGCCCTTCCTGGGTCTCGCTCTTCCTGCCATCGCACAGCCATCAGCCCCCAACCCACGCCACGCCCTGATTACCTGAGGCCGAGGTGCAGGGAGGGACGCCGGAATCCGCAGATGAACACCCTACCGCCGACGAGCCAGAGGAGGCAGACGCCATCTTGGCAGCCCCCTCCTCCTCAGCGGCCTCTCTCTTTTTCTACCGCGCTCTTCCTCTTCTCGGAGTCGAATCCCCCCCCACGTATCCTCACGGAACCCGCGTTCTGCGGGCCACCTCCCCGCCCCCTCCGGGGCCTCTCTCAGATACGTCGCGCCGGCCCCGGGACCAATTCAGGGCGGAACCATTAGGATGGCGTGGGGGAGAATTCTCGTCTCGCACCGTTTTAGCAACTTTAACCCCTTTCCGCAGGAGCTACTTTCCCCTTTTACAACAGAGTAAGCTCAAGCGGCTGCCGGGAAACTGCGTCTGGATCAAACCACACCTAAAAGAAAAAGGTGGGGAATAAGAAGTCCCTGCGGAGCGAACTCCCCGTCCCGCTTCTTCCTAGCCACAGCCTGTTTATCGCCCAACCCCACCGCTTCACTCCGGGTGGCCAAGGAACTCCGGGTATCGCGCATGCGCCCAACCTTCTCCTCGCCGGCCACCCCATCCAATGGGGGAGGAGGAAGGCCCTGAGAGAAGGCAAGCCAATCAGGAGGCTGAGTCTGGTCACGTGACACAGGTCCCTCGCGCCCTGGCAAATCCGAGGAAGGAAGACAGTGCGGCTCTGTCTACGGTGGCTTGGTGAGTCAAAATAGAAGGGAGTCTTAGAAGGGACTAGATCGAGAAGTCTGAGCTCTAGAAAAGAGTGTGCCGGGTTGGCATTCACAACCCGGGAAGACCTCCCGACTGAAGCGCTGGTGTCTAGTCAAAGAGGTTAAACAGTTAAGTATCACAAAACATCACATGCCACCAAGTATTATTCCGACTTTACTGCCTTGTTTATTATTTAACAAGAGTACGTGTCTTGCCTTCCTTTGAATGGCGTTCGAAACATCTACGCTTTGCCTCAAGCGCAATGCTAGGCACAATGATGGATCTGAGTAAATATTTGATAAATAAACGGATGAAGACCTGTCTAAAACGCCACGGAAGACGATCAGAAACATAACAACAGTCTTCCTGTGATCCGAGCCCTTAGCCTCCGTGTTACTTATGCTCCAAAGGTCACTGAGACTCAGAGAAATTCCCTTTTCTAGTCTAATCTTCGTACTAACCCCGCTCAGTTTTAACAATTAGGGAGATTTTGGAGATTATGAACCTTGATGGGGAATATGAAGACCTATCTCTGAACAGACTAAACAGCCAGAGAGTAAGGACTGTTTCATTCTTGTATCTCCAGCTCCTCCCATGATGTAACTCTGTACGTAGTAAGGGCTCAATAATTACTTTGTGGAATGAATAAATGAAGATAAATGGGTTTAAAATCCTGGGTATTGCAGCCCCCAACATGGGCCTAGTTATTCTCTATCTGAATGTCTTCTGGGTCTTTGAAAGGGAACCTAGTACCTCAATGTCCAGAACATAATCCCAAGCATTTACCTCTGCCTTCTACTCCTCCCTCATCAAGATCTAAAATAATTGTTTCCCTGCTGCCACCTGCTGGGTTATTCATCTTTTTGGTAGTGAAAGTAGACAAACTTCAAATGCTTGGATTGCCTCTTACCCTGACTCACCAAGGCATAGGTCAACAGAGGGATCACCTCCCTTGAATTTGATCTATGAAGTAAATTTCAACCTTCCTGAAGCAAGAGACCCCTGTATTGTAGTTTCTTGGGGGTCTTTGTTTCTCCTTTATGTACCAAAAAATAGCCACTATTAGTCCTACCATCTTGTATTATGTCAGTTTACTTGTTCTCCCTCAAAAACTGTGAACAATTCAGGGCAGATTACATCTTATACATTTTTATATCTCAAGCATCTAGAATAGTGCCTCGCATAGAGTCGGTGCCCAATACATGTCTACTGAATTTATGAATGGATGAAGGCAAAATTCAAAAAGTGGAGTTAACAGTGTTTTCTACGTGTGTGCTTAGTCACTCAGTTATGTCTGACTCTTTGCGACCTCATGGACTGTAACCTGCCAGACTCCTCTCCCCATGGGATTCTCCAGGCAAGAATATTGGAGTGGGTTGCCATTTCCTTCTCCAGGGAATTTTCCCAACCCAGGGATAGAACCCAGGTCTCCTGCATAGCAGGCAGATTCTTTACCATCTGAGCCACAAGGCATAAAGCCAACAGTGTTTTTCATATTTCCCCCCCAAATCTTGTCTTTCCCTCCACTACCGCTTAATCCCTGGGCTGGCCTCTGAGTCATAGAGCCACTCTTCCCCAGTAACATTCCTGGCATAGCAGTACTCTAGTTACGTGGCAGGGTGTGGAAACAGGAGCAAAGCAGGACACTTGGCCTGGTGCCCCCAAGGAAATGGAAAAGGGAGTTTACCAATATATACTTTGTAAAGAGGGGCGCAATCTGGTGATCTCAAAATAGGGCCCCACATACGAACTTGAAGGACAGAGTGTATACACAGACACACACAAAGACACATACAGCCTTAGTAATGTGACATTCATGCCTTAGAACAGTACCTCAGGTCAAAATGGAGTGGTTAGGTCGACACAGAGGCAAAATAAGACAATGATACCTTATTCACTCAATTAGTCATTAATTAATTAATTCATTGAATTAGCTATGTCCTCAACACTGGGAATTTCTGGCATACACAGATGATAAAGTCTCTGCCTGCAAAAAGATCACAGACTAATGAGAAAGACAGACACAGAAATCATTAAAATAAAACATAATAGGTGCCATCATAAAGTATGAACAAACACTGTGTTTTGAAAACCATATTTTCAGAATAAAAATGGGGAAGAGAAGTTGATGCATTCTTTTTTTTTAACTGATTTTTATTGGAGTATAGTTGCTTTACAATGGTGTGTTAATTCTGCTGTACAGCAAAATGAATCAGTTATACATACATCAACCTTTTTTAGATTTCTTCCTCATTTAGGTCATCAAAGAGCATTGAGTAGAGTTCCCTGTGCTATACAGTAGGTTCTCATTAGTTACCTATTTTATGTATGCATGCTAAGTCGCTTCAGTCATGTCTGACTCTTTGCGGCTCCATGGCCTGTAGTTTGCCAGGCTCCTCTGTCCATGGGATTCTCCAAGCAACAATACTGGAGTGAGTTGCCATGCCCTCCTCCAGGCAATCTTCCCAACCAAAGGATCCAAATCTCACATTTCCTGCATCAAGCAGGCAGGCTCTTTACTACTTATGCCACCTGGGAAGCCCCATTTTGTGTATAGTAGTGTATCTGTGTCAGTCCCAGTCTCCCAATTCATCACACATCCTCCTTACCCTTATGGTAACTGTAAGTTTGTTTTCTACATCTTTGACTCAATTTCTGCTTTGCAAATAAGTTCATCTGTATATGATTTTTCTAGATTCCACATATAAACAATATACAGTATTTGTCTTTGTCTTTCTCTTTCTGACATAGTTCACTTTGTATGACAATCTCTAGGGCCATCCATGTCAATGCAAGTGGGATTATTTCGATACATTCTTTTTTTTTAAATTTTATTTAGTTGTGCTGGGTCTTAGTTGCAGCATGTGGGATCTAGTTCCCTGACCAGGGATTGAACTCAGGGCCCCCTGTATTGGGAACACAGAACCTTAGCAACCAGACCACCAGGGAAGTCCCAATACATTCTTGATAACACCAGAAACTATTTGAGATTGGAACTGTTCCCGAGGTTCTAGGAGCCATGATCTCAATGGTTCTAGGAACTTTGGGAAGAGAGAAAGGGTATGTGGGAAGACGTCACTGTATTATAGAATTGGAATTTTGCCAGATAGACAAGAAAGAGATTTTTAAGGAGAAGAAAAGCATAGAGGCACTACAGAAAATTGGTGTCAGGGGAATGATGCTAGAATAAGATGATGTGGCAGGAGTTGAGGCCATGAAAAGCAGGGAGAGTCTAAATTATGAAGGATATGACTTTGTTAATAATTACCTACTAAACATCTATGTGCTTACTAAATACTGTGCTAAGCAGATTATAAGGATTACATTTCTTAATCTTCTCAACCACCTTAAAGGGTAGATTAATACTTAGGTTAATACCTATCAGTCCCACTTTACAGATAAGAAAACTAAACTTCTGCGATGTAAAGTAACTTGTCCAAAGTCATAGGGCTAGAATTTAAGCTCAAATGCAAGTTCATGTCTGGCAGTCTCTAAAGCTGTGCTGCTAATCACACTACTATTCGGCCACAAGGATTTTGGGCTTCATCCTGTAGTTGACAAGGAGTCAACAGTTTTGTGTAGAAGAGTGACAAAATCTGGGTTTTGAGAAATGTTTCTTAAAAAGGCCTTAAGGACAGTCATCCCTGGGTGGGCTCAAACCACCAACCCTTTGGTTAACAGCCAAATGTGATAACCAATTGCCCCAACACTGTACAGGAGGCAGTGACCAAAACCATTCTAAAGAAAAAGAAATGCAAGAAGGCAAAATGCTTGTCTGAGGAGGCTTTACAAATAGCTGAAAAAAGAAGAGAAGCAAAAAGCAAGGGAAAAGAGTAAAGATATATCCAACTAAATGCAGAATTCCAGAGAATATCAAGGACAGATAAGAAGGCCTTAAATGATCAATGCAAAGAAATAGAGGAAAACAATAGAATGGCAAAGACTACAGACCTCTTCAAGAAAATTGGAGATATCAGGGGAACATTTCATGTCAGTTTGGGCACAATAAAGGACAGAAACAAGCAATCCCACTCCTGGGCATACACACTGAGGAAACCAGATCTGAAAGAGACACGTGTACCCCAATGTTCATCGCAGCACTGTTTATAATAGCCAGGACATGGAAGCAACCTAAATACCCATCAGCAGATGAATGGATAAGAAAGCTGTGGTACATTAACAAATTGAAAGATAAAAACCATATGATTATCTCAATAGATGCAGAAAAAGCCTTTGCCAAAATTCAACATCCATTTATGATAAAAAACTCCCCAGAAAGCAGGAATAGAAGGAACATGCCTCAACATAATAAAAGCTATATATGACAAACCGACAGCAAACATTATCCTCAATGGTGAAAAATT